GCATCACATTTCATGCAGAGTTTTTTGGCGAAACATCAAATCACCCAGGTGACTCAGCCCTCCTAAAGTCTATATTTGGCACCCTGAAACTTCAGGCTTTTCCCCAAACTAAAATTACCTTTGAATGGGAAGAGATTTCAGACCATTGATGAGATTCAGGAAAATACAACCGGGCAGCTGATAGTGACTGGAAGAACTGTGTGAGGTCCCAAGGTACCTACTTTAAACACCACTGAGGTGCCATTGTCCTGTCTACAGTGTTTCTTGTATCTTGTATCTTCTTCAATAAATGTCTCTATTTTTAATATTACATGGCTGGATACCTTCTAGACAGACTATACACATATACACACACATACATACATATACGCACATACAGAGATCTGGCCTTAGGAATAAAAGCCTTTCGATGCATATTAAAAGTTAAAACTCCCCACTATACAAGAATGTAATAAAGTCTATTAACATGTATAGTTGATTTAAGGAGGTCAAGTTCTGCAGCTCCTGATATGGTTGTGTTTTCTTTGCTATAGGACTTATTTATCCTTCAGTCAAAGAGGTCACATTATCTGAATTTGCTTCTGTTTGACATATATTTATTATCTTTTTGACTAGATATATGCGAATTTACTACTAAAGCTAAATTTTCAGGTGCTGAATACTTTTCCTTACAAAGTGTCTACTATTAGCCATATAAAAATGTCTACTATCATATATATGTGCACATTTCTATTCTACTTAACTGTCTACAAATGATTATGCTAGGTGTGCCACTTGGTTTCTGAAAATTAAATGTGTTTTCTTCTAATAGCATAAAGGTGAAAGGAGAAATTTAAATACATAAATTAGTAACATCTCAGCAGTGATTTGTGATTTCACTCGCTATGCCAATTTCTCCTCTGTTTAACTCTGTAGGCCTCTGGCATGGTAGCAGCACTATAGGAAGAATGCTTTTCTGTGGGTGATTCATAATGAGGCTCAACTGCATCAAGGAGCCCTGTCAATATATCCAGTCCCTTGTTCTCTGTGCCCCATCTCACCCCTCTGCTCCAGTCATTATGAAATACTTAGTCTCTGGAGCCCAATGTGATCTCAGGGTTCCACTGAAGGGACAGTTACTGAGTGCCCACAATATGCTAGGTACACTGGCATTATCGTAAGCATAATTATGATTATCAAGATTATAATAACAGTAGGTATTATCATGAATAAGATAACGATGACTTTGCAAAGAGTGGAGAAGCAAAAGTCTTAGATGCGATACCAAGCTGTCTCTGAGGTGATCAAATTAGCTCCTCTGTGACCAAGGTAGTTTATGATGAATTCAGCAGAGTGGAGACTCTGTCCCTTACAGTTCATAGGATCCATTCACATAGGGCATCCTGCAACAATGCGGGGAGGATGTGACTAACCAACTTACAGACTGATTGAAAAATAATTATTGATTGGAAACGTGTCCTCTTTGACTTTGCAGTCTGTGTTATTTTCTTTGCCAAAAGTGCAGATTTTCAGTAGGGGAAGAATGGAAGGCTTTAGCAAACAATAGAAGAAAGCCCATGGTCATGCAATACAGAAAGTAGCTTCCAGGTTGTTCGGATTAAAAAAAAAAATACCTGGACGAGTGCTTTTGACTGGCATGGAGAACAAAACATAAGAAAAGAGGAGAGGTAACAATGGTGTGTCAGCAACAGAAAATGAGTGCTCTTCATCCTGGATATATCACGGTGAGCCTATGTGAAGCCAAGGAAACCAGCCCCTAGTGGTGTGGGAATAGATCTGGGTAGAGTGAAAAGAAGCAAGACAACTTTGAGGATACCAGGGAGAACTCCCAGAATACATAACATGGAAGAAGTTTAGAAGGGAGCGCTCCCCACATACTCATATTTTGCCATGTATAAGACGCAGTGTTTTGTCCAAATTCTTTAAGAAAAAATAAGGATGTGCAATATACATGGGTACTGATACTGTATCTCTATAAATGTCTTTAATTCTTTTATTTATGCTTATGCATTAAAAGTGTAACTCTAGAAAGCAATGATATCCATATGCAAAATATACCGTGGAATACAATAATTGGTTTTGCTTCTAAATATAAATAATAAAAAATTGAATTAAAAAATTAAAACAAAAGATTTTTTCCAGAAAAGTTGGGCCAAAAATGTGGGTGCACATTATACATGGGAGCACATCATACACAGCAAATACAGTAATTATAAACTGTAAGCTAGCTGAGTATCTTCCCTGCAGAATGTAAACCCCACAGAGATAGGAAATGCAAGTGGTATGTTCACTATTTAATCCATAGCCCTGAGTGTAATGCCTGCCCTTAGCAGGTACTCAAATACTTGGTACATAAAGCAATAAATGAATGAGAATCATCACCAGATCTACAAGTTCTTATATTTGGGGCAGGGATCAAAGATTACCAGTTTTATATATAAATCAGTAAAATAACAGTATTCTATATTATACTTATACATATTAAATCCAGAACTTTCTGGTCTATTTTTCAGAGATTCCTATGAGTACTGATATTTGGAAGTTGATGGTGAGTAGATGCAATATACCAATGCTTCCACTTTCCATGATATTTGAATCAAATTGCACAGTCATGTGTGTTTTGAGGAAACCATTTCAGTCAGATTGAAGCCTGTTAAAGACTCAGTAGGATACCTAGCATGGCATTTTTTTAAGTTTTAGATCAGGTAGAAGAATGCAGTGATACTACAAAAACAATTCTAAACAGTTGATCTGAGTTAAACAACTTTTCACAGATTAAACCTCCTGGGCCATGTTGTTAGCCATTTTATATGTGAAAAAGTGTCCTTTTGCTTATAAAATGGGATGTAGATTGGCCAGGAATATGACAACTTGAGTTTCTAAAAGCCAATAATGTAAGTGATCAATGAAAACAGATATTGAGGCACTAATGATGTATTCTGTAATACAAAAACTCCACACCTGGTATGACAGTATAGTACAACACCCTCAAATGCTAAGGAGAGTTCAGATATCAGGCCTGCAGGGTTGTGGAAGGTTAAGTTATACATCACAGGAAAAAAAAATAAGTACTTTATCAAAACTGCACCTTCCTGTGTTCAATTTCTTCACTAAGTTTATGAGATAGTGCACCACCATTCACAAAAGGAGGAAGAGCAGGTGTGTAGGAAGAGAAAAACAATGAGTTTAGTTTGGGACATATCAAATAATCGAATTATTATACCTGTGCAACACCTTACTTGCATAGAGCTTATTTGTGCAACAATTCCAAACCTGAGTCCCTCAGCCTTTGGAGCTTACCACCTCAGCTATGATCAGTTTTGTCCATTTATCAGGGTGTGCTATGCATACATGGTGACTGTGATGTGTGCCATGACTATGTAGGTCTGAGAAGCACAGGTCCAATAGGCAAATAGATACATGAGTTTAAAACTCATGAGATGATGTCCAGACTAGAGATTTTTTCTGTGTGCTGTCAGCACACAGGTCCTAGTAAGGAACACTTTACTTCCACTTCCAGCCATGTTGAAATACTTGGTACCAGGCTTGCCCTCAACTTGTAATGATTAGAACACTGTACAAAATATACGAAAGAGTTGTTTGTAGGCACTGAACAATGGACAGTACAGGACTATTACTGAAAAGGGGGAAACAAATAAGGTAAGTCCTACCATCGCCACAGCTTGCTACCTGAAAGCACTTTCTAGATGGTGAGAATTCAAGCTAAGCATGGAAGTCTTGCTCAGTTGAAGAGACAAAGGTCAAAGTTCAGAGAGACTGAGGCAGCTAGAATTTGCAGAGCAGTGCACCTGAAAAAAAAGGGGAACTGTGTAGGGAAAGAACTGAAAACAAACAAACAAAAATGAAACAAAAAAAGTACCTTCAGACCCCCTTAAGTCTGTTGCTGAATACTAAGCCATGAGTGACTAGGATGAAAATCCATGACGTTAGGCAAAGAAATAAAAGGAAGCTTTAAGCTGAACAATTCCCAGAACTCATATAGAGCTAGAAGATGTTTAAGTTCCAACCAGTAAGAATGAAGAAACAAAAGACATTAGACCTTTGTTTAATTGAGGCTCAACTGCATCAAGGAGCCCTGTCAATATATCCAGTCCCTTGTTCTCCACGCCCCATCTCATCCCTCTGCTCCAGTCATTATGAAATACTTAGTTTCTGGAGCCCAATATGATCTCAGAGTTCCACTGAAGGGACAGTTACTGAGTGCCCACAATATGCTAGGTACACTGTAGTAGGACTAAAGTAGCCAGTAAAGGATACTTTATGTCTGTCCTAATAAGCTTTTTAAAAAGCCTCAAATGGACCAAGCTGATCTACAAATAACTGCGTGCATAAGAAAATCCAACCCTCTTGAAAAGAACTCAACAAAATTGAGATTCAATAAGTTACCATGCCCAGCATCCAATAAAAATACTAGACATATTAAAAACAGACAAATGTGACCCATAAATAGGATAAAAATCAACCATTAGAGAAAACACATAGAAAAAGAAGCAAAGGAGGGCAATGATAGAATGCTGGGAAACAACCCAACAAGATTTATAGGATAAGAACAAAAAGGAACGGACAAGAGTCACTTGAATAATACAAGATATTACAAGGATCAGAAGACCGTTGAGTTGGAGAAGTCCTGTTAGGATAAAGTTTCAAAAAGAAGCTGGTGGTCGATAGGAGATCAAGCAAGATCAAGAATGCAAGTAGTCAATTGGATTTCACAAGATTATACCGTCTAAGCCTGGTCAGAGTAGTTCCAGTAGAGAGGTTGCGGGCGAAGCCAGATTGCAAAGGATTTGAGGACAAAATAAGATGTGAGGAAGGAGAAATGCCAGTCATTTCTTCCAAGGCAAGATTGTCTCTGAGGCAGGGTAGGCAAATATGTGTATATTTTACCTTTGAAAATATATACATCTCCTTTCTCTTATAGCCCAATTTCCTAATACATTAACAATTCCAAATAAGAATTATGAAATTAAAATTGTTACCAAAAAAGGCATTCAGCAGCTTCTGAACCTGAATATTGCTGCCCACGGTACGGTACAATCCCTCTGTCTTGATTCCTAGGGAAAGAAAATCAGGTCAAGTTTGCTTATACAGCTATAGAGTTTTCATCTACCTCAGGGTAGAGACAGGAGGTACTCACACACCGGAGTCAGTTCAAACATAAAGGTTCTCTCTATGCTCTCCAAGCTCTCCGGCCCTCCCCTGCGGTAGGGAAAGAGTCCTAGAGCATCACTCCAAATTGTTCTCTTCATACTTTCATTTGGATTGTACCAAGCCCTCATTAATCTAACAGAAGTGAACACACTCTGTAACAGGAGAATATGCTTAGGTGGGTAGCAGACTGAAGATGCTGTTGCTATCTTGGAAAAGAGCTAGGATCTAATTGAAAACACAGCAATATCAATCTTCAAGATGTCCCTGAGTACATAAAGGAAGAGAGGGCAGGAGTATGGCAGATGTCAAACAAAAAGCCATTTCTGTGCATGGAGAAGACTGAAGCAACATTTCAAAGGAAAAAAAAGAAACTGCTCATACAGTTCACTGGCCCATATTCTACATATTGTCAGAGAGAAACTAGAGAGTATCATCAACCTGGAAAAATGCTTAGTCCACATTTCTCTGAGCTTAGCTTTTCCCCCTGCAATTTTTAGACCCATGTGTATTGTGGCAAAAAAATAAATTCTTATTTATTTAGGACTACCACCATAATACTAGTTGAGGAGGGCTATGTAGTACTTACGAATACTTTATAAGCCATTTGAAGCTCTTTCTCTTTCAAAGCAGGAAGCCACAAATTATCGAAATAGGCTTGGGCACTGCTGGTTAGAAATTCACTAAAATGATGCAAATTGTGTCTAGTGGTCAAGGTCTAGTGGTCAATAAACAGTGCCTATTCCTGAAATGGGTCCTGACCAATAGACGACATGATTGGTACTTTTGAGAAACTGCCCCAGGATAATGTCAGAGTGGCTGAATTCAAACACCGCCAAGGGGATGGTTCACCATCTTACCTGTGGTCTCAATGACATTGATGCACTTTCTAACGAACTTGAAGCCCACTTCATTCAGCTCCACTGTTTGAAGCAAAGGAAAGGAGAGTTAGACCCTGCTGCAACAAGCTTCACCGGCCAAGCATGCAGTCATCATGCTAAGAGACTACAGCGAGAGAATGAGGGGTTTTCTTGGTAATCTATTACCCTTACGTCGAAAGGTCCTTTGCTTAGGTGGGGGGAGAGTTTTTACTCTATATAACACAGAATGCTTTTAGTTAGCCCTTTGCATTGTATTTGCTTTAGGCATGAGCAACAGCAACTGTGAAATGTTAGGCTGAAAGCACATAGTTTCTATCATGTGCCTAGAACAAGAAGGGTATAATGTGTTTCTTTTTATTTGTACAGCTACTCCCACCATAAACTAAGATAAAGAGACTTCCTTAGTTCAATCAATAGATGCATTTAAAAAAATAGGTCTGAATTTCATTCCCTACTACGGCACCCATAAACACACTTGCATTGACATCACATATCATTGATGACAGCATTTACTATGATTAAGACAGGCGCCAGTTCTAATGTCAGTAGATGAGAAATTGACTCACTTTCTTCCTGTTTCGTTATGGGGCTGTGGTAGATCTACAAAAGAAGAGAAACACATAACATTAAATCAAAACCATTAATGACTCAAAGGCTTTAATAAGGAGGAAAAGTGGGCTCGACAGAATCATCTCTGCCCAGGTCCCTAAGAAACAGTTGAAATAACAATCCCTGAAGATTACACTGGATTTCACACTGCTCGCTGCACCTGAAGTTGTAGCCCTCTTAGACATTTACTTAAGGAAAGCTTGGAGAGTTTTCCCGATGGAGCAAGAAGAAAGTGAAATGAAAGTTAATATATCACATTATGGTTGACAGACCAGCTTTAATTTTGCCTTAGCTGATGTGACTCAGTGGATTGAGCACCGGCCTGCAAAGCAAAGGGTCACCAGTTCAGTTCCCAGGGTAGGGCATGTGCCTGGGTTGCGGGCCGATCCCCAGTGGGCAACCACACATTGATGTTTCTCTCCCTCTTTTTCTCTCTCCCTTCTCCTCCCTGGAAATAAATTTTACAAAAGAAGAAAGTGGATTTCTCATGCATACCTGGGTAATGGGCACTGATGGTACAATTTATGTGATGTGTATCTCCCACACCCCAAACCTAGTTCATAGGTGTTTCTCTGTGGAATGACAAGTGTCCATAGGAAAAAGATCCATGCACTGACTGAGATTTCTCTGCGTCATCTTGAAGTCTATACTGTGATAGCTATGGAGAGACCAAAGAACAGATCCTTGGCTCTTCAAATCTAGTTTCGATTCTGCCTCTACCTTATTTTGAAATCTAGGGCTTGTTATTTTCATCCTCTAGACTTCAAAATTCGTATCTCTAAGATGATCAGGGCTGGAATACATGTTTTTTCAAATCCTGATCTTCTTTGACACTTTACAAGCAAAGGCACACAGAAGATGTGTAAGATGAATAGATCAGGGTGTTAAGTAAAGCAGCAACAACCATTAGCAATGTGCGGCTGCAGGAAATAAGCCCCCTATATGCCATCTGTTAGAGTCAGTCTTCTTTAACAAGCTCTCCTTTTAAAAGAAATTTATCTGCCTATGTGTGTAAACCCATGAGTATTTCAGTGAGAGAGGTGTCCATGTTGGCCAGCCCTTGCTGCCACTTGGATAAGTAAGATATTTGTGAAAAGTCTGCCATAATCAAGTTGGTAAGGATCCGCATTCAGTGGGCCCATGTTCAGACATCCTTCTCCACAAAAAGCCTTCTGCGTGGTTCAATCTTTAAAACCTAAAGGGAGAGCAAGTTCAGGAGTAAAGATTTAAGAGTAAAATGCCTTGCTGAGCCTCCTAGCATCCTCCGAGAGAAACAGCAAAGACATGTAATAGTTAAGCTCCAGGTCTCTGGGAGGGGAGGAGGGGACAGGTCCAGAATCACTTTCTGGACGGCAGTCCTCATGACATCACTTGTCATTTATATCTACCTTCTTGGTTGCTATAAATGCAGTCTGGGATCTGTGCATTTCCTCTTTGGATTCCATGGCACCAAGGGTGCACACAAAGAAACCCCTGGAATATATTTCCCCTCCTAGCAAGTTTTAACCTTGAGTAAAGCAAGGAGATTAGACTGTATCCAAATACTGTTGAATCTCAACAGCTTTGCACCCATGTTTCAGACCACTTAGAAGCACCTAAAGTTAATATATCACATTATGGTTGACAGATCAGCTTTCATTTGATTTGTAAAGCAACCCTGTGAGGTAGGTAGAACAGAGATTATTAAAGCCATTTTACTGAAGAGAAGGAAACTGAGTGTCAGAGAGATGAAATAACTCACTCAAGGTCACACAAGCACTGACTGGCAGGACCAGCATCCAAATCTAGGCCTCTGGCATTCTAACACTATGAAGCTGATGTTATTTCATATGCCACTAGGAGAAACCTACTGGGAAGACTTTGAAGACAGGAAATGCTTTTCAATGGTTTATGACTGTTCATATTGGTCTTTATAGGATCATCACAAACCTTTTAAGGTATTGCCTGTCCTCCTATGCAACATTCACCTAAACAGAGCAGTACATATTTGGCTCCAAGGTAACAAAGCCATCACTTCCACTATTGTGAAGGTAATGAGCTGACTTGGGGGCATAAGAAGGGGCAGCAAAACAACTTTACATAAAACCTTAATAAATGCTTGTTCACAGCCATGTCAAGTATTTTCGATCCTTCTATATGAATATATATTAATTGTATGAACCTGCGAAGAGGCTCAGTTTTCTTTAAGATCTTGTAGGCACAGCTGCATACTCTAAAACTGGAGCAAGGTGCTACAAGCCCTGGATTCTAGGCCCAGCTTCCATGTCTTCTGTGACGCTGCTCCTAGAGAAGTGCCTCCCCCTCTCTGGAACTCAAGTTGCCTTACTTGTTGAACAAGAGATAGTGAATCAATAAAATTCTTTCTAGCTCTAACAATTTTGAGTCAGAGACGCTGCCACGCTACCCTTTAACTGTCCTAGGCCCACTTGTACCACTAGAGGGCACTCACACACCGCGCTTCGCTGCGCTGCGCTGCAGAGCATCTCCCGCGTGTGAGGTAACTTACAGGCTCTTTCCCATCCATGGCCTCCATCCACAGCCTTCTGTTAGCTTCTGAAAGGGCTTGCAGCGTTATGGTTCCTGGCCTAAGGGGGAGAAAAATGAGAAGCTGAAAGCAGAAAACTCACCTGAGAGAATGGAGTCTTGTGATCTAAGGTCCTCCACTGAGTAGGAACAGGCATGTATAACTCCAATTTTTCAAAATCTCTTTTCATCGGGAAAAAAACAGCAGAACATTTAAAGAACAGTAACTTTGGGAACCCTGAGGCGGTATCTTGGCCGCCTCATGCTAGGGTTGGGCAAGGAAATAGGAAGGCAGTTGCCAAGATGCGTTACCATAATGTACACTTAAATTGGCCCTATATTGCTGGAGCCAAGCTGACGTTCTCTCTGCCTCTCTCAGAAGCCAGCCATTAGGTCTGGGCTCTAAGGGTGAGTATGCTCATCACAGACACATTCATCTTCAGGAAAATGGCTCTGCTACTTCCACCTCCTAGGATGTACTGGCTCATGTCCAGGTGGAAAGAACTCAAAAACATGCTCGGCCCCAGGCACAAGGCCCTTTGGCTTAGTTAAGCAATCTTGTGACTAATAATAACAGCTAAGAATTATTAAATGTTCACTAGGTACCAGGTTCTGTTCTAAGTACTTTGCAGGCATTACTTTGTTTAATCTCCTCCAGGAAGCCTATAAAGCAGATACCATAGTTTTTAAAAATCCTATTGGACAGAAGGGGTAAGTGAAGAATAGATAGGTTACCCGAGTTCACATAGCGGGTAAGTAGAGTGGAAGAGGATTTGAATTTAGTAGCTCTGGCCTGACAGCCATGTTCTTTCTTAACCAGTACACTACAAGGCCTCCTCTGCACGGCAGAGGGCCTCAACCCCAATTTTGTCCTATTTACTGTATTTTGCCTTGTATAATGTGGACCCACATTTTGGGCCCAAACTTTTAAGGAAAAAAACCTTTCATTTTAATTTTTAATTGAATTTTTTATTTATTTATATTTAGGAACAAAACCTATTATCATTTTCCAGGGTATTATTTTGCATATGGATATCATTGTTGCTTTCTACAGTTACGCTTTTAACACACAAGCATAAATTTAAAAATTGAAACGTTTATATACATACAGAATTAGTACTACCCATGTATGATGCACATCCTTATTTTTCCCTGAAATATTTGGGCAAAAATGTGTGCATTATACATGGCGTAATATAGTGTTTGCAGGCTATCTATATCCAGAGATATCCCAAGTTGGTATACTATGTATTGTCTTTTTAGACCTTCCAAAACCAAACCGGAAATGTGGGCTTGACCAAGTTATTCCAAGCATGAAACGTCCTTGCACTCTGCCTTACTGGGCCATTATGAGAAGCCTGTTCTTACTACTTCTATAAGATAAAGCCTCTTTCAGAGTCATGAAATGATAAGAGCGATAATAAGAGACCCTGAAAAAGTCAATGGGCCTCTCTGGGCCTGTTTCATTGTTCCTAAGGGTATTGGAACAGAGAAGCTGAAGGTCCTTCTCAGTTCTGATACCATGGGATTCCTGTTCTACCTGCCCTTCGAGCTCTTGCTTCATTAAAGTCCTCCTTAAAAAAGAAAGCTCCACAATCATCTTTAAGCAAGAATCTATTGAAAACCAGGACGTGGCTTTGGACACTGGACTCTTTCAAGTTTACCTTTCTCTTAGAAACACACAAGCTTTTGTATACACCTTATGAATGTGTCTAGAAATCCTTGTAAAGGCAGCTATGTAGCTGAATCCTAAAGTCAGAAGGATGGCGAGCCAGCAAATAGGCATGACAGAAAAGCAGAAACTGAGGACCAGATACGATATTACAACCCTTCTGGAACTCAGCTTCCCTGTCTGGGAAATCGAAAAGCCAATGTGTGTCATGGCCGGACCTTGCAGAGAAGCTGAAAGAATAAATAAGTGACTATTCATGAAGCATTTGGAGGTTAAGTGTTACAGAAAGTCAAATTCAAAGAACCATATTGCTAAGAACAGGACGACAAAGTAGAAAGAGTACTGACTTCTAGTTCAGCATCTGCTATTAGGACCTTAGACCAATCCTTTGCCCTCCCTGAGGTCTCAGCCACCCATCTGGAACAAAAAGGCACACAAGAGTGTATGTGCAGCAGAATGTAGTAATTTCAAGTGTGAGCCTGGAGAATAGAATGCCTGGATTCACTACATCCTAACTCCACTACTTTCTAGCTGTGTAATCTGAGATGCTTAACTTCTCTCTGTCTCCTTGTCTTCCTTTGTAAGACTGGGATAATAATACCCCCTACCTCAGGAGACTGTGGTGAGGACTAAAGGAAATGATCACTTAAAAGGGTTGAGAACAGCGCTTGGCACACAGGAAGTATATTCAGCAAATGTCAGCAGTTGTCTTGCTGCTGCTGCTGCTGCTGCTGCTGCTGCTGCTGCTGCTGTTATTATTATTGCCATTCAAACTCTGAGGGACTATGAACCTGTGGCTTCAAATACTGGCAGGAACACTAATATAAAGTTATCCTCTACTCCTGAAATAGAAAAAAAAAGACTCAAATGAGTACAGGTGCCTGATGCCTGCTGGGAAGCACGACCCTGTTCCTTCTATCAGAATGACTCGCCAGGAAAGCAGACATCACATCCCTCAGAAAACCTCCCATGTGCAGAGGCACCTCAGCACCTGTTCAATGTTATTTTTGACCCTCTTTTGCACAGTATATATACTGAGCTTATAATAGACAACGGAATACAATTATAAAGAACATAGGCTTTGGAGACCTAGAGACCAGGGTTTGAGCTCAGCCTTGCCGCTATATGACTTTGATTTGGCACGTAAGCTAAACGTATTCAAGTCTCGGTGTCCATACCTGTAAAATGAGGGCATGTTTTTCGTGCCCAATATGTGGTAACTGAAATCATAGACACATCGAAACTTTAACTCCTGGGTTATAGACTCAGAAATCCTCAGCTTTCCAGGGTAGAAAAAAATGAACACCAAATGTATTGTCTACCATGAGCCATGCATAGCACTACGTGCACACACATAAATATGAATCAGTTTCAGCTTCTAGACAAATTACCTGCAATTGTTTTGATTCTATGGGAATAATGTTGCAAAGAGCTTGCAAATTTAGGCTGAAAAGGTAATCAGAATGAAAATAGAGGCAGAAAATTTTAATTTCTTTTAAGCACCATAATGCTGCAAAGCCAGAGACATTAAAGGCTCATGAAAGGAAAGCCATAGCAAAAGCCATTTTCCCGTTCCTTTGATTGGGAACATCCATTTCTAACACCAGAAAGAAATCATATTTGCAAACAGAAATTTAAAATGGGGAAAGTGACCAGTAGTTATTTATTCCTAGATCAAAAATTTTAAAAGCTCTCATCTCTTAGACTAATCTTTATGATTACAGTCACTGATAGTTTTGGTCCTATAATATTGTGATTCAACATTCAAGTTCCTTTCTAGGAAACTGATCATTATGTTAAATTCTAATCTATTACTCAGTACCTAATACATAGAAACAACGGACTGAAATAAAATAGAGAAATACATTCACTGAATTTTGGATCATCCTCCCACCTACATGCCATGCCTTTAGCCAAAGGAGCTTCAAGCGCTCTTGTTTTAAAGTTTAAAGGTTCAATTCTCCTCTGATAACATTTCCTCAGGTCGGGGGGAAAGAAAAAGAAGGTACTGGAGAGAAAAAAAAATACAACCAAGTTCAAAGTGTGTAAACCTTGACTGAAATTAGGAAGTTCATAATCCAACTATTTCCACTTTACATAAATATCTGCAAAGTAGGGAAAGTCTGTATGATGTTTGCCCCAAGTCTGGGGGACTGACTCCCCAGCACCACTACAACACTCCATCTCATCTATCTCCTTTTAAAAATGTGTTCCAGTTCACTTGTTCCTATATGTTACATTAGGAGATTTTAAAAAGAATGAGTTTTGTTATCTGGTCCTTTTTGCAACATCATCAAACACTGACCTTTTGCATATTTGACAGCAAATAAATCCTAGGAATGACTTTTCTTGTCTGGAGCAGGTGCCACAAAGCTGACTGGAGTTTGCACAGAGAGAACCAGCCCTGGGCCAGGTCTAATGGGGATCCCCATGAAGGGCCACCACAAGAGCCCAGAAGACAATGTCATGAATAGATTTGCTCATTTTCCTCAACAGGAGGTAATGGAGGAAAAGACCTAGCCAGGCTCAGCACCTGGTACATGGGGACACTGCCAATTCACACCAGCACAGCTTACCTTTCATTAGTTTCTATATCAAAGCAGAACCTCTTGTCAATAGACTCTGTCTTCCTTCTCACGCAGTACTTCAGGGTTAAGTCCAAAGGCCCCTGAAAGAAGAGAAGAATTAACAGTTCATGTGAAAAATTGCACAAAAGCTTCTTCTGCATCTTGCAGTGTCCTCAGTGTCACTTAGAAGGCATGTGTCACGGCAGGAGGGGCAATGTGTAGCCTCACTGAGAACCTTTGTCACTTCAAACGGCAGTTGTAACAAGATGGCAGATGGTTTCTCCCTGCTCCAAAAATCAATAAAAGGCTGAGACAAAGATGAATTATATGCAGGGTAGGCCATCGCTCTTTTTCAAGTGGGGTAGATTAAACAGGAACCTCATTACACGTCATGTAACGAGGGTGCAGCAGAAATGAGCTGCCCAAATCACATTAAGTGTCCAGAATAAAATTTTTATTAGACGTCTAAGTAGAGAGATTGCAATGGGTAAGCGGCTTTCTATAACCCTCCTTCCATTAAAGTGGTCAATGGAGATGGAGAGACAAACATTTTTCTTCCCCAGCTCCAGACTCTTGAGGACGGCAGGGCTTACAAAAGCAACCTCTCCAAAAATAGGGCAGGAGTAGGGAAAATAAAACAATGTGTGAGTAGTCAAGGCGGCATTTGGTACTTCATATGTTCAGGATAGTTTGGTCCACCTTAGTCTTGTGGGCACTTAACTAGGCCATTGAAATCCAATTTGTTCACAGATTATAATTCTCCAGTCCCACACTGTTCAGTTTCCCTCTATTTTCTCAACAGAGACAACGTGATACTGGTAAGAGAAGTAACCTTTATTGATCAATCACCTAGTAGATGCCACATATTGCACGAAGTATTTAGTATCCACCTTTCTTTGTAATGACCCTTGGAGGAAGCTCAGAGAGGTAAAATGGCTTACCCAAAGTCACCCAACGTTGGTACAGTGGAAATGGCAATCAACAAGGCACCTTAAAACCAGGGGTCTGGTCTCAGTTATGCCATTCACAAGCTACGTGACCCAAGGCAAATCATTTTCACTTCATTTCACAGACTATTAAATGGAATGATACTACCCCACGTTGCTGTCTCAAATTCAGAAACACTGCCCAAGTGCCAGGTCTATGTCTGAACACTATACCATCTAAACTGGCCAGTACAGCTGATCATCCAATACTTTCCTTCCATGGGCACACTCAACCCACAAAAGCCTACTCTTTGGCTGCTCCTGCACTATAAAACCTTAACTCTAAATTCATGCTTCCATCTGCCTTCTCTGCCCCAACACTTACAATATCAAGCATGAGCAGTCATTCAAGATGAGAGTGATTAGCAACAGCATCATGTACTCACCCTCCCTCTGTAAACTCTCAACTCCCTCCCATTTGGTGGCACTGCAGCTCAGGCGCTGTGGCCCTGCCCACCACTGCAGATTCACCTCCAGCCACCCCGTTCAGTGTAAAACTCTTATTTCACACATACATCATGTGCTTTCATGACTCCATAACTTTGCATATACTATTTCCTCTACCTGAAATGGGTATCTCTGTTCTTTGGCTAAACTCTTACTTGTCCCACAAACTTCAGTTTCACTTCAATTTCCTCCAAAGTCCTTCCCCAATCCCATATGTTGCCCACTATGTGTTTCCCACATTATATGAAAGCTTTATGTTTTCACGTCTGATTTCCATACTTGACTGAGAACTCCCCAAGAACAACATAGGCAGTATGTTATTTACCTTTCTATCTCTAGTACCTACTAAAGAGTTAGTGCTCAATAGACATTTGTGGACTGCATTATCATCCTTGCCATTTTTCTACGAAGGAAAATGATACTGATGATACTGGGCAACAAGTAATTTACTCCAGATCAAAGAGCTACCAGGCCACAGAGCTAGGATTTAAAACCAGTTCTTGAGACTCAGGAGGAATTCCTGTTTCCTCTTACCACAACCGCCTGAGAGGAAAGCGGTGAGAATCTTATAGAACAGTGTTTGGGAAGGCAATCTGTAAAGTGAGCAGCAGCACACAAATGAAAGTTGACAGGCCGAACTAGTAGGGAACGCTGCTAAGTACCATAGTCAGAAAGAGCATACATCCCTCCATGTTCAGACCTGGCTATGGGTCTGACACAGTGCCACTGGGGGAGCGAATGAGACACATGAGAGAAAGTATTTACCTCAGAGCCTGGCATGCAGAAGACATTCACTACATGGTGGCTTTCTACGATACTATTATCAGTCTCGAGGACTTACAATATTTGCCTTTCTAAAACACAAACTAGTGTTAGGAACTGTCAGAGAACTTACAAGAAGTCATTTCCAACTCCAACTGAGAGAAATTCAAGTGATTACTTCGACCTCCCCTTCTTTCTAAACAGAGAAGCGCGTTCCTCTTCTCCGGTTATAAGTAATCCCAGAGTCAAATTGCTGAGGCTGCGACACAATTGCAGTTTTGCAAGCAGCCGCTCAATGAAAAGGGAAGAGGGGAAGAAAAACTATAAGGAGGGTTGGCTCTCCTTCTAGGAGGATGTGAAAGTGGCATCTGTGGCCTCTGTGTTGAGCTTGGCAGTAGGCGCTTCTGAGCTGGAGAGACGGGGCCCAAATGAGCTTACTGTCTAAGAGAGGAACTTTCAGGTCCAGCATCTGGGAAGTGATGCGTGTATAAGAAGAAAAGGAAGAGCCTGCAGGGCAGTGTTGCTTATAACCACTTGCCAGCCAGACACATCAGCTCAGTTCACACAGAACAGGAACAAATTCTGTGCCGCAGCATGAGGCGAATTTTGCAGAATTGCATTGAAAGGTGTTTTGGCAATCGGCAGACTGGAAATGAAGGAGAGTTTGGGGGCTATGAATGAGTATCTGGCCCACACAGAGGCATGAACGAAGGTTGTGGAAACCGTATCTGGTACACTTTGTTAGACTTGCATCCCATTTCCAGTCCACATGCGAAGCAGAGCAACAAACATGTGGTTAAAGACCCCTAAAAAGCAGTTTTCAGCAGCGTGCCACTAAATCTCAGTCCTCTCTAATTTTCTATGAACAAGCCACACACAAGAGGGATCTTCCTTGGAATTAAAATCCTTAAACATCATGACCAAGACCCTGTCTGACACAGTTACAAAGGACACATCAAACTACTTCAGAATATTAATAGTCTATCAGCCTTTATCTCAATAAATACTTGAGTGTGAGTGTGTATGTGTATTCCTAAAACTCCTATAAAGATAGGCGCAAGTAAGATGACAGACTAAACTTTTGGCTGCATGGTCTAACAACAAATATAACATAACGTAACATAACATAACATAACATAACACAACACAACATAGCAGATTCTTCCAGGTGAATAAACTATGTTCTCAGTGTATTAAACTCATCTTGCCACTTTGGGGCTTGCAGGGAGGTTTGGAAGGCAGAAAAAGAAGCATTAAGTGCTTAAAGATAATTGAGTATTAATTAGACCGAGAGGTACAGGTTATTCCAACTTTAAGCAAAAGGCTAGCTCTTTCTAAAAAAAAATTTTGCTAAATGGTTTACATTTTAAACTCTTGCTATTTAAAGAAATCCAATAGCACAGCCTTCTTAAAAGCAAGTCATACTCTCCACACACAGTTCGCCCACAGTTTTGCAAATTTTCTTTGTACAACATGACAGGCAGTAGTAATAATTTAGTAAATGGTGTGAAAGGGCACAGGCACTTTTGGGAGGCCTGACATAATTAACAGAGATCATTCACTCAACTGAGAAATATCGGGACCAAGGCAAACTTAGGTCAAAGGGAACAAATGAAGTTGAGGCTTTATATGACAGTGATGGATTTATTCTTTGGCACTGTGTCAACATACACTTTTTTCTGAGATTCAGTCACAGATGTATTGCAAAAAACAAAAAACAAAAAAACAAAAACTGTGGCACACAGAAGAACTGACCTGCTTAGCACCTGGCTTCTGCTCCATCGGCGTCATGGTGAGTGTTTTGGTCTCTTTCTCATACTGGCAGTAGTATTTCACCCAGGATATTCCCAGAGCCCCTATAAAGATAGGCAAAAGTAAGCTGACGAATTTCAGGGCTGCGCAGTCAGTCCACCCCTAAGATGGAAGCTGTGTACAGCTTGCTCTTCAGGGCTATGCTCCAGATCCAGGGCTCCAGGCCAGCACTGCCACCTGCCCATCACACATAAGGAGGTCCGAACCTCATCAACTGCTTTCCACATCTGCTCCAGCTTGCTCCAAACCACTCACCTTGCCACGTCCCTATGAATGCTACCACTGCGCATCCTATCCTATAAGCTGGAAACCTGTAATCTTCTGCTCCTACTTCCCTGTAATGTGCCCCATTTGATTGGTGCTTGGGTTCTGCCCATTCTCTCCCCTAAACGTCTCTCCTTCAGCTGTCTGCTCCGCTCCATCTCCTTTAGCACTCAATTACTTCAGCATCCTATTGCTGACTTCTCTTTTTCATGTTTTATGAAATATTTCAAGCAAAACAAAAATTCACCATTTCTCCAATTAATTATTTCAGTGGCCTGCTCTCTGGTTTCCCCCATCTCCAATCATCCCTTTTTAGTCTATTCTCCACTCTTTTGCTAGAGGAGTATTTGTAACTGTGTATATCTGTGTCATTCCTCTCATTATAAACCACCCACGGCTTTTCCAGTATCTCCAAGCTCCTCAGGGTGGCCCACAAAGCCCTTCATAATATGGACATATTTACCTGTCAACTTTGTCTTTTGCAATCCTTACCCTCTATATTCTTGTCTCACTGAATGACTTTCAGTTACCAAATAAATAAGTGGCCATATAATCTATCATCCATATTCAAGACATATTTAAGAGTGAATGGGGCACCACTGATAATTACATCAGGGCAACAGATATAAACCAGGACTATTCTTGGCAAACCAAAACCCTACAAATAAACTATATCCTCACACGCCTCTGTGTGCAGTGGTATACACCTGAAATTTTCTTTCCCTTTTTCTTTACCTGTCAAGATCCCACTCATAATCCAAGTTCTAGTTCGAACATCACTTTCTTAGTGAAGCTCTTATATATATGCCCCTTATATGTAAGCTCAGCACATTTCATTATAATTATTGATATACTTGTCTGTCTTCATCAGACTGTGTATGTACTTGAGAGCAAAAGTGAAGGTTGATTCATTTCTTTTTTGTATGCCTAATGCACTGAATATTGTCTGAAAAAAAAAGGATGCTTAATAAGCATACACTCAATGGAGTAGCAAGTCCATATCCATTTGACAAATTAGAAAACTGAGAGATAGAAGGATCACACAGCTAATTGCTGTTAGAGCTAAGATTCAAGCCCATTACTCTGCACCTCTTTTATAATACAATAGTACTTCTTGCACCTGGGGAGAGCTGCTGCTAAACATCCTATAATGTACAGGATGCCAGCCCCAGAACAAAGAATTACTCAGCCTGAAATGTCAATAGTGCTGAGATTGAGAAATCCTGCAATGCAGAGCTGATGAACCCACCAAATGAAAGAACATATCTTTGAAAACCATCAAAAGTTCACTGCTCTAAGGGAAGAAAAGCAAAATAATATAACTGCTGCAATATCATGCTTTGCAGATTGCAGTGGTTTTTGCCACTGGTAACCTCTGGGTAGCTTCTTCAGCCTACTCCCAGAAAGTATAACTCTGAGCAGGGAATGAAATTACAGGCTTTGGGTCATAGTTCATAAGGCAAATCAAATAGCACATACAGCTTAGCCAATGCAATTTAGGAAGCAGGAAAGCCTGAATCATCTGCAATATTTGGTGACTGGATAAGTTTTCCTTCATTATCCTCCATTTTCCTTTGTTATCAATGAACAAACTGTCCTGCCCACTGAAATCACAGTGGCTATTTAATGCATTAAGAACAACCATGTAATCCTAAAGCAGTGGAAGGTATAGAGTACAGTGGGAGGAGCATAGGTTTTGACATTTTTCAGACCCAAGTTTACTCTTAGGTCTGTTATTTGATAGTTGGGTGACCTGCAACTATCAACTAGTTATATTTCTAAGCCTGGTGGCCTCATGTGTACAATGGGTATGATAAAGTAGTGTCAAAGATTAAATGAGCTGGTGTATTTAAAGCAGTTAGCACCACACCTGGCAGGGAGTAGGTACAATAAATATTGTTTATCTGCCTCCTATCCCCTACCTCCCTTTTCCCCCAAAGGACTCAATGATTAACAATCGCCATTTGGAATCTCAGAGAAAACCTGAGGTCTTATCACCCCAGAGCCTTCGTAAGACAAATCTTCAACCCCCTCCTCCAATTTCTCCTTCCTTTTTATTTTTTTCACTATTCCCACACTGCTCTCCAAAAGAGGTGTAGCTCTCAGGGGCTGGTGATCATTATCGGTGCAGAATGTTTGGAAAGGCTAAGAGGCAAGAGGAGCCAGCCTACTGGAACCCAGGGGGTATCCCTACATTCCCACTCACATTTCTCTTGGGTATAGAGATAGCCTTCAATGGTTGGCTGTCCTGGAAGTTTGCATGTCTGGGGAGCCTCTTTCATCCTTTTCTTAAGTTCTTCCATCTCTTCTCGGGTACTGGAAAAATGATTTCTTGTCTGCCAAGACATTATCATCACAATCATTATCATCATCACCATCATCATACATAAACGATTTTTGGCCAGAACCCAGAGTTTTCTTGGCTTTATTCATGTGTTACAACACAGCAAAAACAAGTGTTGAATGCCACACAGACTAGGAAACCATCTTAAGGAGTTTAATGGTATTAAAGACTAAAACGAAAACAAACATGGATGGCGATCTACCCATAAAATGGCACTTGGGAGGCTTTTTTCTAATAGGAATCAAATAAGACTCCAACAAATAAGGGCTCTTACAATTCTGAGCCTGAGACTATCCCCTGCTTCACCAAAAGGGAGACTGTAAAGAAGGTTCCCAAAGAGAACCATTATCATGGCAGCAACGTCTAAGTTTTGCCTCAGGTAAAGTTACTGCCTACTTGACTCTGACTTAAATTCTGGCCATTAGGATAAAATATGGAGGGTGCTCTCTTTGAAGATAGGTGAACAGAAAACTTCTGTTTTCACAATCATGAATAAGAAAAGCTAAGGGTAAGAAGTAATATTTAAAAAATACACTACTAAAGCACAATGGCAAAACACAGTTTGAAATGTGGGTTATGAAAATCATTAGAGCCCTGGCTGGTGTGGCTCAGTGGACTGAGTGCCAGCCTGCGAGTCACAGGGTCACCAGTTCAATTCCCAATCAGGGCACATGCCTGGGTTGCAGGCCAAGCCCTCAGTAGGGGGTGTGCAAGAGGCAAACACACATGTATGTTTCTCTCTCTCTCTCTCTCTCTTTCTCCCTCCCATCCGTTCTTTAAAAATAAATAAATAAATCTTTTTTAAAAAATAAGAAAATCATTAGAGGTCCTTAGTATTTAGTCTCAAGACTGTCACATGATGACAGTGACAAAGGTAAACTGAGCTACCAAGTCTAGTTGGGCCCACTCTACTCATTATCCTCTAAATGAGTTCACCATATATATTCATGCAAATACTTGTTAAACTCATACTTATCAAGTTACATTTGAAGGACAATTCCAGTGATTAACCAGCACCAATATTTTGTAAATCAGCAGAAGATAAGGGCTCTCACATTCTGGTGAAGGAGAGTTCCCAGCAAGGTAAACAACAACAACAATACAACTATAAGTCAGGATCCTCTTAAACAAACAAGTGAAATGTATTTCCACTGCAACTTACCAACCACTGTCATCTAAAAATACATCTATAAATTCCATGCGATGTAACAGCTCGTTCAAAGACACTACACCTCAGTGATGCCTTCTTTGACTGTGTTGGTCAGTCAATTGTTCAACTCTCTGTGCTTCTTTAAAATTTTTGTTCTTAATTTTATTATAGCATTTTACACAAGGAATTATGATTTATCTGTGATTATGTCTCTCTCCTCCAAGAGACTGAATATTCCTTAAAGACAGAAAAACTAACATGTTCCACTGTAGTATGAGGCATGTTACAATGCTTGGCACAGAGTACATGTTCATTATATCCATAAGCATTCATTACATGTGAGTTAAATAAATTAAAAAAATATGTGACAAGAATGGGAAGGCTGTGCTTATGCCCATCTATAAGGACAAACATGGGAGAGAAGGTGGAGACAAGCTTTAAAATTAATTTAGTTAACTCTAATAATGAGTAATGAAAAAAGGAAGAGAGGGGAAAATGCGCATTCATGGTAATAAAACCCACAATGAGAGCATCTTGACTGACAAGCAGGGAAGTAGCATAAAACCTGTGCTTGACAAGCAAAATAGAACCAGAGACATGGAAATAAAGAACAAACTGACAGTAATCAGAGGGGACAGGGGAGGGGGATAACGGGGGAAAGAAGGGGAAGGGGCAAGTCAAGGAACATGCATAAAGGAACCATGGACAAGGGCAATGGAGGGAGGATTGAATGTGGGAGGTGGGGAGCGGGTAGGGCAGGGGAGAGCAATAGGGGAAGAATGGGGACAGCTGTAACTGAACAACAATTTTAAAAAAATTTAAAAACTCTGTGCTTTAATAAGTCCATAGCTGGGTTCTGACCTGGGATAGATGCAGCAACTCAGAGACACAATAAATATTGGATAAACAGAGGCATCAGTGTGTGGAAGGGTGGGTTGGAACAACAGTCAGCCCCAAAGACAGAGAAGGGCTAATGACAGTACACTAAAATATTTGTGATCCACACCAGTGTGTCCTGACAAATTAGCGGGGGTGCAGAAAAACAAAATTCCAAGGTCAAGGTCATCAGGGCTTAAATCCAATTGAAATGCGGAGACAGGTGGAAAAACCCCACATGCAAACTTACATTCTGCAAACTGAGCTGGAGTTTTTGTTTATATGGGAGGAAATCCTGCGTGAGCTCCACAGTCAAGTTGTTGGAAATGAAGAGGCTATGGAGAAAGGCCAAGACCTAGGGAAGACATGTGAAAATAACTTTATCATCAGGACCTTCTCCTTGATCAGATAAAGAAAACAGAAGCACAGGAACATTGGCACATAGTGTTCAGCCAATATAGTGTTAAAAGCAGTCATGCAAACAGAAACATGTCTATACATACCTATTCTCTTACTGGGGTAAATATGTACACTGAACTCAGTTCCAGAAAATAAGAACTACTACCAATTTTTCACTCCGATCTTTTTCAGATAGCACATAAAACCATTCATAATGTGGGCAGTATGGGGATAAACTGTGTCTTTTCTCTCTGAATCCTCGGGACTGGCCCAGAATAGATACACAATAAATATTTGTTGAATAGATAACTAAATAGATAAATGAGTAAGGTAAGAATCTATGTTTCTGAAGACTGCCATAATGCTAATGAACCCAATTTCAAATTAGAAGTGCTTTGAGGGAGTTGCAGAAGAAGACATACAAATGATCAAGAAGATATTTTAAATATCCAAAATGTTCAACCCCATTAAAAATCAAATATATATAAATAAAAACAAAAGAAAATGACTTTTGTCTCTCAAATACATTTAAAAAACAATGCTCAATGCATGCAATAGTGAATTATAACAAGTAGTAAAAATTGTTCTAGTCTGTTTAGAAAGCAAACAGGTGAGCACACATGAACATGCACACACACCATATACATAAAGACACATATGTATGTATAAATACAAACTACCATATTTTGCCATGTATGATGTGCACTCTTTTGTCCAAATTTTTGAGGGAAAAATAAGAATGCACATGATACATGGATAGTACTAACTCCATATCTATATAAATGTCTTTAATTCTTTTACTTATGCTTATGCATTAAGAGCGTAACTCTAGAAAGCAAAAACGATATCCTTATGCAAAATACTACCCTGAAACACAATATTCAGCTTTGTTCCTAAATATGGATAAAAAATTGAATTAAAAAATTAAAACAGAAGTTTTTCCCTGAAAGTTTGGGCCAAGAACATGGGTGTGCATTATACATGGGAGCGCATTATACATAGCAAAATATGGTATATGTGTATGTATATATAAACACATTAAAAACTATGTATATACACACATGTGTATATATGTCTTGTGTATACGTGTGTGTGTGTGTTTACCACACACACAATAGTATATACAATCTTCCTGTTTCTTTCCCAAGCTTTCCCAGCTCAGGAAATGACAATACCACGCAATCAGTCAATCAAACCAGAACGTAAAGAATCATACCTGATTTCTCTTTCCCTCACATCTCCATCCAATTCATAAATAATTCCTGTCAATTTTGCTTCCAAACATACCTCTAGTCAAGCCATTCTTTTCTATTTCTACTACCAGTACCATAACCCAAACCAACCTCTTCTCCTGCCTAGATCCCTGCAATAGCCTCCTCACTGGTTTCATCACTACCAGTGTTGGCCTCTTCCAAGCCATTCTCCATACAATTAAATCAGTTCATGTCATATCCTGTTTAACACTCACCAGAGGTTTTTCACTGCCCTTGGACTAACATCCAAACTCCTTATATAGCTACAGGTCAGACACTCTCCTTTCAGACATTATTTGCTGCCACTCCCTTATTTCTCATCAGTACCGAAAGGCTCATTTTTTCACTCCTTGATTAGACCATTCTTTCATAAGTTAAGTGTGTCTTTCTGTGCCTGGAGTGTTCTTTCCCCATTACTCACATTGCCTCAACCTCGCTTTCCTGAGATCTGAAATGTCACTTTCAGAGGACCTCCTTGACTACATGATCTAAAGTGGCTGCCCATTTTTGTTCTTTTAGTGCTTATCGCAACTTACAATTATTTTATTTATGTATATTTTTCCTTCCCCTCTGTCTACCCCATGAGGGAGTAGTATTCATAAAGACAGAAACTGAGTCTGTCTTGTTCTCTATAGGATAACCAGTGTTTAGCACAGTGCCTGACACATAATAGAAGCACAATAAATATTTATGGGACAAATGAATAAATACTTGTTTGCACATATACATATACAGATATATACAAATGACAGATACACATGAACACAGCTGTGCATATACTCATGTGCAATATACGCATGTCTATGCAGACAGGTGAATACATATACCTACAAGTATCTAGAGAAATAAATATAAGAGATACACAGAGAATATGGGAATAAAGTACCACAATATTAACAGTGATTATCTCTGCATGGGGAATTTGTTGTTTTTTTTGTTTTTCACATAATTTTTTCTAGCTTTTCTGCAACAAGAACACACTCGTTAAAATAAAAAAAATGGTTAAAATTCAACATAATTGTGAAATCAAAGGACATCATATTTTACAATAAATTAAGGAGATTTAAGTAAAAAGATTCAATAAGATAGAAGTAAAAATGGTAGAATAGGAAGTTATTGAGTGCAAGAGACATGAGTTCCTAGCACAGTGCCTGGTATACAATGGGTATTTTCAAAGGCTTTATGAAAACATGAGTGAAAAAAAGGAGAACGAGGTAAAAAGAAGAGTGACAGAGAAAGCTGGGGAGGGAAAGAAGAGGAGAAGAAAAACAGGAGAAAGAAAAATCATAGCTAGAGAGAAAAAATGGAGGAGGAAAGAGAGAGAGAGAGAGAGAGAGAGAGAGAGAGAGAGAGAGATTCATTATTAAACACTGACTATCATGTTCTTTGAGATTCAAATTTTATAATCCAAGTTCTCCACATTTGCCAAACATTTGGTAAATATTTTTAGAGCATTAATCAACAGAACTTACCGGCTCCACAATATTGAACTTCTTGGACTCCTGAACTTCCTGGATTTGATAAACATAATCAAGGGAGGATTCGAAAAAAATGTGCCTCTCCTTGTCCACCTGCAGGTCTGCCTGTAGAGGAAGGGTAGCAAATGTCACAAACTGGCATAGTCACTCATACAAGCCAGTGCTTATGGAATCAACAGAACTCTACAGCTAGGGAAGAATTTAGCCACCAAGTAATGATCTTATCCCTTTATTCTACAGATAGGGAACATGCAGGCAAGAGATATAATGTGACTGACGCAAGACTTCTGGTTTCTGGTCCTACGAATAAGAAGCTTCGAAGTTATCCTGCTAACACAAGAAAAAAGATGAACAAGATAGAAATTAACAACTCCTCTTCGATCCAACAGAGAATTAAAGTCAGAGGGAAAACCAATGTCTCAAAAATTGTATAGACCTTTGAATATGGAGAATCAGAGCATGTAAATCAGAGCAGAAGCCTGATGCTGCAGCCAGTATCAGACTTCAAGAACTCTCTAGTGGGTCCAAAGTGGTGGCATACGTGGATGCTGAGCTTGCACCCTCCCAAAAACATATCCAATGCACTCCTATATTTACAGTAATTCTGCCTGAAAGACAACTGAGAGCTAATCGAACAACTTCTGCACAACAAACAAGAGAGGAAGGGGGACGCATAGAGAAGGCTGAGGAACTGTGAGAGCTCTCCAGGAGCTGAGAGAACAACCCAGGGCCAGAGGAAACAGTGAGTGCCATTGTTTACATCTCCCAGGCACGTGGATGGCAGACAGAAGGTCCATCCAGGTTCTATATCTAATGGCCTGCAGGGTGCCGCAGCCTATCCCTAGCCACCACTTCTGGAGTTAGATCCAACAGAGATAGGAGGCCCGTAGTTTGCATAAAAGAGACTGATTGAACAGGTACTGTGCGGTTGTGCCTCGCTCAATGGGCTGCACATGCATGTGGGGCTTTCCACCTGGAGAGACTGCTGAGATAGCAAAACACTGAGATACCCGGCTGCAGGACTATCACATCCAGAGAAGTGCAGAGATAGTGGGGTGCTACTGTATGCTCACATGGCACTTCCCCTCCTGGAAAGAGTTTGGAGCTGACCAATGGGCTGTGGTGCCTGCCCACAGGACAGCCCCATCAGAGAAAGTGCAGAGAAAGTGAAGCACTGTCACATGCACATGTCAAATGGCTATACCGTACACCTGCAATTAATATAACTAGCATAATACTGCATACCAACTATACTTAAATCTTTAAAAATTAAATAAAATTTAAAAAGTCAAAAGCATGATCCATGAAAGAAAAATTTTATAAGTTGTATTTCATTAAAATTAAAAATTTTTGCTCTGTAAAAAATGTTATTAAGAGAATAAAAAGAAAACCATAGATGGGGAGAAAAATCTTTGTAAAACGTGTATCAGATACTGGACTGATATCTAAAATATATGAACAGCTCTTAAAATATAACAATAAGAAAATTAACCAATTAAAAGTTGGTAAAAAATTTAAATAGACACCTCAATAAAGATGACCTACAAATGACAATCATATGAAAGATGTTACCATATGTCATTAGGTAAATGCAAATTGCAACAGTAATGAGATAACACTACACAGCTATTAGGATGGCTCAAATAAAGTTAAAAAATAAATAAAATAAAATGCTGTTATAAAAAGGAAAAACACAGACAATACCAAATGCTGGCAAGGATGTGGAGCAATAGGAACTCTCATACATTGATGGTAGGAATAACAGAAATTATACAGCCACTTTGAAAGATATTTTGGCAGGTTCTTACAAAACTAAATACTCTCTTATCATGAAATTCAGCAAATCTACTCTTTGCCATTTTTTCAAATGACCTGAAAAGATATGTACATAAAAATCTGCACAAAAATGTTTACACAGCAGCTTTATTAATAATTGACAAAATTTGGAGGAAGCAAAGATGTCCTTCAAAAGATGAATGGATAAAGAAACAGTGGTACATCCATACAATGGAATATTATTTGGTGCTAAAGAAAGAAGTGAGCTATGAAGCCATGAAAAGACACAAAGGAATCTCAAATACATATCGCTAAGTGAAAGAAGCCAATTGGAAAATCTCCATGCTGTATAACTCAAACTATATGACATTCTGGAATAGGCAAAAATATGAACACAATAAAACGATCAGTGATTGCCAGGGGGTTGGGGTTGTAGAAGGAGAGAGAAATGAATAGATTGTACCCAGGGGCTTTTAGGGGCAGCCAAGTTATTCTGTATGATAGTGTGATGGTGGATTCATGTCATTACATATTTGTTAAAACCCACAGAATACACACTTTGGCTCATCAACTCTATCAAATGTATTTCACAAATGCAAGTAATAATAGGGGAATAAGAAGTACCATGCAAGAGAAAAAAACAAAAGGCAGCCAAAGTGGGAATAAAGAAAAAGAAGTTTAAGTCTTGCAATTTTGAGATGACGTGATTTTTATATAGAAAACCCTAAAGACTTACCAAAAACTAGCAATATTAAAAACAATAAACAAAAACAATAAAGCTGCAGAATATAATATCAATGTACAAACATCATCATGTTCCTATATGCTAACAAAATTTCAGAAAAATAAGTGACAAAAACCAATTCCTATTGTAATTGCAACAAAGACAATAAAATACCTAGCAATAAACTTAACAAAGAATGTGAAGGACCTATACACTGAAAACTACAAGATGTTATTAAAAGAAATTGAAGAAGACACAAAGAAATGGAAATATATTCCATGTTCATGGATTGGAAGAATCAACATAGTTAAAGTGGCCATATTACCCAATGCTATATATAGATTTAATGCAATTCACATCAAAATTCCAACAGTACTTTTTTAAAGAAATACAACAAAAAATCATCAGATTTGTATAGTACCATAAAGACCCCAAATATCCACAGCAGTTCTGAGAAAAAAGAACAAAGCTGGAAGTATCACACTCCCCAGCTTTAAATTAGACTACTAGATGATAATTATTAAAACAGCATAGTATTGGCAGAAAAACAGATACACACACCAATGGAACAGATTTGAGAGGCCAGAAATAAATATATATGTATATGGGCAAATATTTTTTCAACAAAGGAGCCAGAAACATACAATGGGGTAAAGAAAGTCTCACCTCTTCAGTAAATGGTGCTGGGAAAATTGGAAAGCCACATACAAGAGAATGAAAGTACACTGCTGTTTGTCACCATATACAAAAATTAACTCAAAATGGATCAAAGACCTAAATATAAGATCAGAAACAAGAAATGACGTAAAAGAAAGCATAGGTACTAAACAGGCACCTTGGTCTTAGAGAGGATTTTACGAATTTGACTTCTGAGACAAGGGAAGTAAAAGCAAAAATAAATGCATTGGAGTGTATCAAACTGAAAAGATTCTACACACGAAAAGAAACCTCCAACAAAACAAAAAGGCACTCAAGTGCATGGAGGAAAATATTTGCAAAAAAACACTTCTAATAAGGGGTTTATATCCAAAATATATAACTCATACAACTCAGCAACAAGAAAACAATCCAATTTAAAAAAGGGCAGAGGACCTGAACAGACACCTCTCCCAGGAAGACATACAAATAGCCAATAGATATATGAAAAGATGCTTAATTCCCAGTCAAGAGGGCAGTGTAGGCAGACATGGCTCACCTCCTCCCACAACCACATCAAAATTACAACTAAAATATAGAACAACCATCACTCAGAACCATCAGAAATTGAGTTGAATGGAAGCCTGACAACCACAGAATTTTAAAAACCACATCCATCCAGACTGGTAGGTGGGGCAGAGATACAGAACAGTTATATTTTTAGCCACATGTGGTGGATAAAAATTCAGGAGGGATATCTTAGGAGCAAGGAGTCCCAGCCCCACACCAGGCCCCCCAGCCCAGGGTTCCAGTGCCAGGAAGGTAAGTCCCCTATAGGGAAAATGGAGTCAGGCAGGCTTCCTCATCTAGATGTTCAGGAGACTGAGTTGGCAGCGTTTATGCGACCTTTAGTAAGGGCCCGCATAGAATGAAGCACTGTTATATAACTGAAGGTCAGTATTGGCACCCTGCCGGCTTTGTGTGCACTTAATATGTAAGGGAGTCAGGGCTTCCCACAGTGTGACTCTCGTCTTGTGGCGTATACTGCTCCGCGTATATTTTTCCATCTGCCCAAATCCCATGTGAACCTGCCTGGCCTTGAACACTTGCAGGACATCCCCACAACTTCTGGTTGCAAAAACCAGAGGGGATTGAGTCGGTGGAATAAAATTCTGGAGCCCCAAGCAGTTCCTCTTAAACAACCCACACATGGACTCACTTACTCAGACTCACTCCCTCTGAGCTCCAGCACCAGGATAGCAGCTTGATAGACACCAGAGGTGCACAGGGAGAGACTGAAGTGTCTGGCATCAGCAGAGACCATTGTCCCTTTGCTAAACCCTCCCCCCACAGAGCTGGTAGACCGATGCCATATATGAGATTCCACCAATCTGGCTAACACTGTTTGATCTGCCTTGGAGATCCCCAGAGGCTCTGCCCCACACAAATTATGGGACCACGCAAGCTGCTTTTCCAGAAGAATGGCCAGTCTTAGCTCCTAAATCCTATCAAACAAGCAACAGCTGGCCTCAGGGAGCCCTAGCAGCAGCCAGATTAAAGCCACAGCTTGGCTTCACCTAGAAATCTCCAGCCGAACACAAGTAGTAGCCATCTCAGATTGCTTTATAGTTCAGGCGGGTTGGCCCCAGGCAAAACACAGGTGGGGGCTAACCTTGGCCTGCACCACTTGGGAAACCCCAGGACCAGCGCACCAGTGGACAGCTGCAGATCATGCCAGAGCACCATCACCCTGCCCCTGCACAGCTGATCCTCCCCAGAGGGCAGAGGTTGCTGGTCGGTGGCCACAGCCAGTCCTTGTAGCTGACTGACCTGGGTAAATCCCTCCCATTGATCTGCCAACAGCAACCAAGGCTCAACCACAAGAGGAGGGCATACTCAGCCCACATAAAGGGCGCACCTCAAGTACCCAGCTTGCATGAGAGGGGAGGCTGTGCCACTGGACCCTATAGGCCACCCACTACATTAGGCCACACTACCAAGACAGGGAGCCAAAGCAGCTCTACCTAATACATAGAAACAAATACAGGGAGGCTGCCAAAATTAGGGGACAAAGAAACATGGCCCAAATGAAAGAACAGATGAAAACCCCAGAAAAAGAGCTAAACAAAATAGAGATAAGCAATCTATCAGATGCAGAGTTCAAAACATTGGTTATAAGGATGCTCGAGGAACTTAGGGAGGACCTCAACAGCATAAAAAAGACCCAGTCAGAAACAAAGGATACACTAAATGAAATAAAGAACAGTTTACAGGGAAACTACAGTAGAGTAGATGAAGCTGAGAATCAAATCAATGATTTGGAACATAAAGAAGCAAAAAACAACCAATCAGAGCAACAAGAAGAAAAAAGAATCCAAAAAAAAAAAAAAAACTGAGGATACTGTAAGCAGCCTCTGGGACAACGTCAAAAGGCCCAACATTCGCATCATAGGGGTGCCAGAAGAAGAAGAGAAAGAGCAAGAAATTGGAAATCTGAAAAAACAGTTAAAGAACACTTCCCTAATCTGGTGAAGGAAATAGACATGCAAGTCCAGGAAGCACAGAGAGTTCCAAACAAGATGGTTGCAAAGAGGCCCACTCTAGGACACATGATAATTAAAATGTCAAAGGTTAAAGATAAAGAGAGAATCTTAAAAGCAGCAAGAGAAAAGCAGTTAGCTACCAGATGGTTGCTATAAGGGAGGAGGTGGGGGAGAATGGGTGAAGAGGTGAGGGGATTGAGATGTACAAATAGTTAGTTACAGAATAGCCATAGGGATGTAAAGCACACCATAGGAAATGGAGTAGCCAAAGAACTTACATGTATGACCACGGACATAAACAATGGTGGGGGGATTGCCTGAGGGAGTGGGGGGTGCTGGGTGGAGGGGGACAAAGGGGGAAAAATCAGGACAACTGTAATAGTATAATCAATAAGATAATTATTAAAAAAAGATCTAAAAAAGAAGAAAAGATTCTCAACTCCGCTAGTTATCAGGGAAATGCAAATCAAAACCACAATGAGATACCACATCACACCTGTTAGAATGCCTATGCTCAAAAAAACAAGTAATAACAAGTGTTAGAGAGGTTGCGGAGTAAAAGGAACCCTCATTCACTGCTGGTGGGAATGTAAACTGGTACAGCCACTGTGGAAAACAGTATGGAGGTTCCTCAAAAAATTAAGGACAGAGTTACCATATGACCCAGCAATCCCTCTTCTGAATATCTACCTGAAAATTTTAAAAACATTTATTCATAAAGATACATGCTTCCCTATGTCTGCTGCAGCATTATTCATGGTGGCCAAGACATGGAAACAAGATGACTGGATAAAGAAGATGTAATACAAGTACACCTCAGACATAAGAAAAGATGAAATGCTGCCATTTGTGACAACATGGATGGACCTTGAGAATATCATGCTAAGCGTAGTCAGATGGAAAAACTGAAGAACCATATGATCTCACTCATATGTGGGATATAAAACTGAAAGCAAAATAAACAAACAAAACAAAGAAAAACTCATAGACATAAACAACAAACAGTATGGTGGTTACCAGAGGGAAGGAGTTGGGTGGAGTGGTAAGGGGTAAAGGAGGTCAAATTACGGTGATGGAAGGAGATTTGAGTTTGGATGGTGAACACATAATGCAATGGACAGATGAAGTGTTATAGAATTGTACTCTTGGAACTTATATATTTTTATGAACCAACGTCACCCCAATAAGTGTAATTCAAATAAATAAATAATCGTGGAAACTGTATGCAGGGTAGTAGGAATGTATGGGAACTCTCTGTACTTACTGTTAAAGTTTTAAAGCTAAAACCACTCTAAAAATAAAGTCTCAATATTTTTTTTTAATGTGGCTGACCCAAGGTTCCCCAGCTTTTTTCTGATTGAACAAGTACAAAGGCTACATCCTTGCTCATTAGAAAAGTCACCAGGGACATCTACAGACAGCATCAAACTGCTGGGATACTCCAGAAGTTTCATTGCATCTGCCTTGAAAAGAATAAAGTTTGGACAAGTGTCCAGAGTTCCAAACCCCCAGGTTTGGCAAATCCCTAGGACAACTCACAGGACTCAGTGTACAGTCATACTCAGGGCTAAGATTTATTTCAGTGAAAGGACACAAACAAAATCATCAAAGGAAAAAGATCTATGGGGTGAAGTCCAGAGGAAACTAAGTGTACGCTTCCAGGAGGTGGAGTCACACAGGTTAAACTTAATGCCCCTGGCAAGAGGTTAGGGCAACCCGTGAAATGTTGTCTACCAAGGAAGCACATTAGAGACTGAGGGTTCTGGGTTTTTCCTGGGCATTGTACACAGGCACCTTCTACCAGGCATGCACCAAATTCCGGACTCCCAGAAGAAAAGAAGGTGTTAGGCATAAACCACTTTGTTTGCACAGGCAGGCTAGGCACTCTGAGTCACTTCCGTTTAGGGAAACTTTTATATCAGTGTAGGAACTGCTTACCAGCCAAGTTCCCAGACACAAGCCAACAGCAATTCCTGTAATCAGATATTTTGAAGCATAGTAGTCTCCAGACTGTTATGTTAACTCTTTTGTGCATGGGAACTTTGGCACAGAATAGATGAAAAAGTAAGAAAACAAAAATGTGCAAAAGAAAATGGCAGAAGACCCCAGGCTGGTACTTAGTTCCAGTTTTTAAAAAACAAATAGTCCTTGACCTTCTCAATACTAAGTCCATCCGCCACTGAGGCTCTTAACCCATCACTTGGAAGCGTGTCACATGATGTGATGGATACTCATTAAATCAGGTGTCCGGAGATGAGCTTCAACTTTGCCACAATGTATGTGACCCTGGACAACATGATTTCTAAGAACATTCACAGCTCATGTCTATTACCTTATTCAGTTGCGTTTCACCCTTCATATCTGAATCTGTAACACCTCCATGTTACTGAATCTTCTATGCAACACACAGATCCATTTTTCCATTTATAAAAGTCTTAATCAGTTAATTCCTTCATTCCCTTTCCCAGCGCTACTCTCTGACTCAGCCCCTCTCCCCTAGATCACTGTAATAGTTTCCTAAATTGGTTTTCCAGCTTGCAGTCTCTCCCTGATCTAATTCACCCTGCAGCTCCAGCCAGTTTAAGATTCCCGAAATAAAATTCCACCCATATCGCTTGCACAACCACAGGCTTTCACTGATCCTCCCAGAGCCAACAGAATTCAATACAAACCCCTGAAGCTCTATTACTCCACAATACACCTCAACTTGCCTGACCATAACTTGTCTTTCACTACCCTCCAGTCGTAATGCAAATTCTGGTCAAACTGTTTCCCAAACATACTCTATGTTTTCTATCCTTGGGACCATTACCCTCCACTTGAAGGATCCGTTTCTCCACCTCTGTTCATCAGACAGCTTACCTATTATTGAATGGCCACCTCAAATTGGAAAGCAACATTCTCCCACAAAGGCAATTCTCCACATCTAATGTTTTTAATCCTGCAAATACTCTCCCACCCCTACAAGGATACCACATACACATTCACATTATAGTATGTAAAAAATTCTACTTGTGTAAGAGTCACGTGTATTCTTATCCTCACAGTAAGCCAGAGAAGGGCAGGAAGTATGTCTTATTGTCTCTGTGGTCCTGTTGCATCCAGCATAGAGCCTGGCATTTAGTAGGCACACTCAACAAATAGTTACTTCTTTGAACTGAAATCAACACAAGTCCCATATAAGCTGCAGTCCCAGTGCAAGACCAAAAAATGTAACTCTATTCTGAATTAGAGTGTGGATTCTGGAATCAGACAATTAGAACTGGAAGGAATTCTGGAGATCACTGAGTCCCACTCTTCGTTTGAGAGAGAGGGGAACTCAGACCAAGAGAGGAACATCTTATTCAGTCACACCATGATTCAATGGAGGAGCTGGCTTGAGAACTCAGGGCGCCTGAGTCCCAGGCCATGGTTTTAACTGCAAGCACGACTCTCAGCTGAGGCAAGGTATGAGGAAAGCTTTGCAATAGGAAGCTGCCATTGTTAACAAGGTATAACTGCAATGAAAGGCGGGGACAGACTTTTGAACCTACCTCTTGTAACTGAGATTCTTTCTTTTTGGAAGACAGATGTAAGTGCCGATCCAGCAAAGAATAAAACCTCTCACCATCCTTTTCAAATTTCTTTTTCCGCTCCTGGACATGGGAGAGAAGGCACAGATTAAGATGTCTTTAGTTTTAATTCAGTTTGCTCAGAACTGAGAATGAAGAACACAGTGCCAGGTTTCATGTGGCCAATCTCTCTATTTCCTGGGTAGGAAAAAAAGAACAAAAGAGTATTTGCTTTTGCATTGGTCTCAGCAGTCTTGACGTCCTCAAATACAGTCCTGAATCACCCCACTGGCACAAAGGGCAGTTCACAGCAAAATTAAATGGAAGGTAGAGATATCCCATACATGCCCTGCCCCCAGACAGAAAGAGCCTCCCCCAATACCAATGTCTCCCACCAGAATAGTACATTCACTACAATTGATTACTCTACATTGACATACCAAAATCATCCAGAGTCCATACTTTACATTAGGATTCACTCCTGGTGCCTTACATTCTAGTGGTTTGAACAAATGTATAATGACACATATCCATCATTATGGTATTATACAGAGTATTTTTACTGCCAAAAGCTCTGTACTCCATCTATTCATCCCTTCCCCTACCAACCTCTGCTCTGCTTACTGTCCTTATAGTTTTGCTTTTTTTGAAATGTCATATAATTCAAATCATACAATATGTAGTCTTATTAGATTGACTTCTTTCACTTAACAATAACACATTTCAGTTTCCTCTGAGTCTGTCCATGGCTTTATAGCTCACTTCTTTTCAGTTCTGAACAATGTGGCATTGTCTGGGTACACCACAGTTTATGTTCCATTCGTCACTAAAGGACATCCTGGTTGCTACCAAGTTTCAGCAAATATGAAGAAAGCTGCTAAAAACATCCATGTTGAGGTTTTTGCGTAGACATAAGTTTTCAACTCCTTTAGGTAAGTACCAAGGACTTCAATTGCTGGATCACATGGTAAGAGTATATACAGTTTTCTAAGAAATTACCAAACTGTCTTCCAAAGTTCCATTTTGCATGTCCATCACCACTGAATGAGAGTACCTGTTGCTCCTCATCCTTACCAGCATCTGATGTTGTCAGCATTCTGGATTACAGCAATTCTAATAAGTGTATAGTGGTATCTCATTGTTATTTTACTTTGCCCTTCCCTAATAACATATGACGTAAAACATTTTTTCATATGCTTATTTGCCATTTGTATATTTCCTTTGGTGAGGTGTCTGTTAGGTTCTTTGACCCATTTTTTCATCCATTTGTTTGCTTTCTCGTTGTTGAGTATTAAGTGTTCTTTGTAAAATTGTGGTACATATGTGCAGTGGAATATTACTTGACCATAAAAAATGAAATCTTACCATCTGCAACAGCATAGATGGACCTAGAGGGTATTATGCTAAGGGAAGTTAAGTCAGTCAGAGAAAGACAAATACCATATGATGTCGCTTATATGTGGAATCTAAAGAACAAAATAAATGAACAAAATTGAAACAGATTTATAAATACAGAGAACAGACTGATGGTTGCCAGAGAGGAGGGGGAGTTGGAGAACTGGATGAAAAAGATAAAGGGATTAAAAAGTACAAATTGGTAGTTACAAAATAGTCACAGAGATGTAAAGTACATCATAGGGAATATAGTCAATAATACTGTAATAACTATATATAGTACCAGGTGGTTACTGAAAATATCAGGAGTGATTACTTTATAAAGTAAATGACTGTTTAACCACTACGCTATGCACCTGAAACTGATACAAAACAATATTTAATCTAAACTGTCATTGAAAAATAAAATTTAAACAAAAGTTCTTTGTATATTTTGGATCACAGTCCTTTATCAGATATGCATTTTGCAAATGTTTTCTCCCAGTCTATGGCTTGCCTTCTCATTTACTTGACATCATTTTCCATGGAGCAGAACTTTTTCTTTTTTAATTTTCATGAAGTCTACCTGATCAATTATTTCTTTCACGGACTATGCCTTTGATATCCTATCTAAAAAGTCATCACCATCCCCAAGATCATGTATATTTTCTTCTTCCATGTTATCTTCTCAGACTCTCAGAGCTGTGCATTTTACAATACCTTTAGGTCTATGAAAGATCTTTTTTTTTGCATATGGATTCATTTTTTTTGCATGTGTATTTCCAGTTGTTCCAGTACCATTTCTTGAAAGATTATCTTTGCTCCATTGTACTGTCATTTGCTCCTTTGTCAAAGATCAGTTGACTATATTTGCTTGGATCTATTTCTGTGCTCTTGACTCAAGCTGCAACATCAGCTCTTTACTGGGTCTCCTACCTGCTGTCCCACCCTAAAGATTTTAGATTTTCCTGCCTATACGATCATGTCAGCCAATTCTTTAAAATAAATCTCTCTGTGCATATATACACATGCAAATACATACACATGCATGCGCACAGACACACACACACACACACACACACACACACAAGCAACCTATTGGTTCTATTGGTTCCATTTCTCTGTAGAATCCTGAGTAATACATGATAATAATGCTAGGAATGATTTTTGGCTGCCAAGTTAACAAAAAGCTCAACTGACTCATTCAGTCACTTTGTTCTTGGCCGCTTAATATTCCTCTTCAACATCTTACTAGCCTTTAAATTTTAATATTATGGAGCTTCAACAAAACCACTTTTAATGCAAATTAACAGTTAAGAATGTAGAATTACCTGTGTTAGAAGGCATTTAATTTTACACTTTTCTGGTTTATAGTGGGAAACAAGCAGCGGAAAGAAAATTATACCCACACCAGACAGAATAAAGCTTTTGAAACTGGAAAGACCAGACAGACCTGAGTTAATTCTTGGCCCTGCCATTTTTGTAGACTGTGTGACTGTAGAAAGTTCTAACCCTCTCTGATCCTTGCTTTCTTCATCTATAAAACACGAATAATATCTTCCTCCAGTAACCTTCCAGGGTACTGTCAGAATTAAATGTCAGTATATACCCCAATGCATAGTAAGTACTGAACTAATGTTAGCTCCCTTACCTTCCTCTATAAACAATTTTTTTAGTTTTCTTTTTTGCTTGATCCCTCCACCCCCTCCCATTCCTTCCCCCAGAGCTCTCAGCCTGTCCTCTATCTATGAGTCTGTCTCTATTTTGTTAGTTTATTTTGTTCATTAAATTCCACATGAGTGAAATCATATGGTGCTTGTCTTTCTCTGACTGGCTTATTTCACTTAGCATTATGTTTTCCAGGTCCATCAAAGAATAAAATTTTCTTCATTTTTACAGCTGAGTACTACATTGTTTAAATGTACCATAGCTGTTTTATCCACTCTATCTACAAAGTGTTTTTTAAATTTATTAGGCCTAAACAGCAGCCACTAATCACAGGTAGCTCTTAAAATTTAATTAATTAGAATTAAATAATCTTCAAAATTCAACTCCTAAGTCACACTAGACACATTTCAATTGTGCACCAGCCTTGTATGGCTAGAAGCTACTTAGTGGAAAATCAGATACAGAACATCTGACATTTCTTTAAAAAAAATAGAATCCACAAATTACAATCCAATTCAAGGGGTTAAGCGCTGTTGAGTTCCTTTATCTCCTGTCCTCTCCAGAGATGACTTTGAAGCCAGCTGCTATCAGGGACAAGGTTACAAGCTGACTTCAGTCTGGCTCATTTGAGCAAGGTCACCCTCGTAATTACAAATACACCCTAAAGTAGTTCAAGTGGAAAGGACGCTGAGATGGAAAAGAGGAGCAGAAAATGGCCTCACTTTCATTGCAGAAGGGAGAAAAGAACTTTTGCTATCTTTCTGTTCAGTGATGCAATTCCCTTCTGCTCTAGTGAGGGATGGCAAGGAAGCTAGAAAACAGATGTGATCTCCTCCCGGGGCATGCTCTGTTCTATATGGTCGGCCATGGGGATGGCACCCCCTTTTAACCCTCCACTCTTCATGCTAACTGCAGCCACTTTCCTATTTTTCAGGAATGGACTACCTTGTAAAAGGATCTGATCAATAACCTGATCACCTTAGCCAGTGTTTTCAAGAGAGTAGATCTGTCTTCCGTGAGTGACTGCTGTCTCCTGTATACAGAGTAGAGACACATTTGCTGAACCAAATTCCCTTGCATCTTTCTGAATCAGCTTATGTTTTCCCTGGATGTGGAGCAAAGACAACCTTTTCATACTGTCAGTGACGACATCAATTAGTACAGCCACTTGGAGATTAATTTGGCGATATATCTCATAAAGATGTGCATGCCCTACAACCCAGACATCCTCTTTCCAGGTTATAAAGTTTCAAATGTGCACAAGAAGACATGTCTGACACTTTTATAGGCGTATCGGTTGCACTAGCATAAACACGGAAACAACTGACTCATCAATCAATAAGGGAATGCTTAAAGAAATCATGATACATTCTCACAATGGAATACTATGTAGCAATAAAAATGAAAGAACGCCAATTCTTTCAGTATATGAACACAGATGAATCGCACATATAAGGGTAGGCAAAAGTAGGTTTACAGTTGTAAGTAGGCAAAACACAGCTTATTGTTATTATTTATTCATTATTGTATTATTTTATTTTTTTGCCTGAACTGTACATAATTGCACATTCACTCTACCAAATGTGTCAACTGTTAAGTTTATAGATCTCTCCTTTTGAAATAAAATAAAATGAAAATCACTTATCTGCCCTCTTATTGTATTATTTTCCATGAGAACAACTGTAAACCTACTTTTGCCCACCCTTGTATATAATTTTGAGTGGAAAAAAAAACAAGGTATAAAAACAATACATGCAGAATTATTCCTTTTTCATAGATGTGAAAAGCAATAATAGCAAAAACAGATAACGTTTACTATGTGTCACACATTGCTCTAAATATTTTATGGTAACACTTTTCATTCCTCACAACTATATAATGTAGGTACTATTTTTTATCCTATAGAGATAAGGAAGCTAAGACCCGCAGAAATGAAGTGACTTGCCTAAGTTCAGCACCTACCAAGCTGAAGAGCTAGAATATAGACCCAGATCATCTGGATCCAGAGTCCACAGTTTAATGACTACACTACATAAAACAAT